GCTGGCCTCTTCTACAAAACATAACAGTAAGATCTAAAAAAGTTAAATCTGGTCCTCTGGACATTCAAAAACAAAACAAAGCGAAACAACAAAAAAATTTAGAAACGTTTCGTGTTTCATCTGAAAGTCTTCCTCAGTCTGAGGTGTTGTATTCAGCTCAGTCTCTTAAATAGCACCTTCGCAGAGTGGATCAACCAGTTTTGCTGCTGACAACCAAAACCAGCTGATCACATGCTCAAGAAGGACCATCAGCCTAACAATGGATCATTAGCACACTGATGGCTGTTTACTGTTCACAGAGGGCTGAGTGATACTAGCAATCACAGCATTGTAAGATGGGGACAGTTGAACCCGGAGGCCTCCACCCCTGTTTAACGATGGACGATTTCTTTTCACAAAGATGGCTTCCATTACTCCTCTCTCAAACCATCGTTCCTCTCTATCCAGGATGTGAACATCTTCATCCCTGAAAGAGTGACCGCTGGCCTGGAGATGAGTGTAGACCGCAGAGTCCTGGCCTGATGGTGTTGATCTTCTGTGCTGGTCCATCCTTTTGGCCAGTGGCTGTTTGGTTTTCCCGATGTAAGACTGATCACAGCCCTCCTGACACTAAACAACATACACAACATTACTCTGTTTGTGCCGGGGAACTGGATGTTTGGGATGAACCAGTCTTTGCCGTAATGTATTTTAGGGTTTAAAAGCCACTGGGACGTTGCGTTTAAAAAATAAACGTCTCAGATTCTCTGATACTCCGTCAACATACGGAATGACCACTGGTTTGGGTCGGGGTTCCTCCTTTTCACCTGATGGCTGACTGGAGTCCTGTTTGTGTTTCCTCTCTGCTTTCAGGAAGGCCCAGTTAGGATATCCACATTGCTCTAGAGCCTGTCTTGTGTGGGATTTCTCCTTCTGCCTGGCTCCTGAGCTAGTGGGGACGCTGTCTGCTCTGTGATACAGAGTCCTGATGACTCCTAACTTGTGCTCCAAACGGTGATGGGAGTCAAACTGGTCTGTGTGGTTGGGTTTGTGGTACACCTCAGTTTGCAAATGTCCTCTATCAGAAACTGAGACCTCACAGTCCAAGAAAGCCAACCTGCCATTTTTTACATCTTCTCATGTGTACACTTCTGGCCATCTTTAGGATGGCTGTAATTTTATTGTACTTCACTGTGCAATGACAATAAAGCTGATTCTGATTCTGTTTCAAAAGATCATACTCCAAAGGACATCTTTGAGTTTGCAATTATTCACCTTCTCCTCTATTCCCTTTCAGCCCAGAGCCCGTTGCTACACCTTTAAATAAAGATCACTTATTTTTGTACTTTGATTCTGTCATCCTTCTCAGTCTGCTTACCTTGGGGTCAACATTAATATAATCATGATAAGTTCAAGTTCAAGAATCTTTATTATCTCAAGGGGCAATTTGTTTCACAGTCAGCAGGCTCATAAAACATCCATAGCAAGACATTCAGACATTAGAATAACGGTACAGAGATCATTAGTGTTCATTGAGAAGCCTGATCGCTACAGGGATGGATGAGTTTTTCAGTCTGTTCGTTCTACTTTGTATATCTGGGCAGCAGATACCTGCATCCAGATGGAAGCAACCTGAACTCACCATGGAGTGGGTGATCAGGATCTGCCAGAGTCTTGTTCTGCCTTGTTCACTGACCTCATCTTGTGTAGTCAGTGAGGTTCTGCAGGGCTTCACAGACAGCTCGCAACAAATTATGGTCTTAATGTGTGTACTTCAGTATGTCTATAACCTGTCCTGAAAATCTGACCTTGCATATACATATCGTTTAAAAATATCTTCCTGCTGTCGAGTCTTGCTCCTTTTGATAAGTGAGACGAAGCATTTTTTACTTATTTCTCCATTATTTAGATTAAAATTATCCTTTTCCTATTCAACAACTTCTAATGAAGTAAGCTAACGGCTGGTGAGCATGTTTTGCATTTTGTCAAGCACTAAATTTCACAGGCATCACACCATCACCATTATTCAATAAATTTAAGTTTAAGAAGCCTTTTTGACACTGTGCAAGTCCTCTGAAAATTGTGGTGATATTATTCTTTTAAAGGCAGTTTGTCAACATTGACCTTCATTATGCACATGTGCTCCTAATTCAGCAAAAGGAGCAGGGGAAAAAAACATTCATCATCCTAACACATATGTAGGTCAACTGTGATCCAATCAAAAAATAAATACATTAAAGTAAAATTGGTTGTTCAGTCACTGGCTTCTCTCTGCCATATTGCAATATCACATGTTGGTCTAATGGTCCAATGTATCCAGAGACAAGTTATCCAATTCAAGATATTTTGTTGAATTTTATAAGGTAATATATTCAGCAGCAAACGGTTATTGAAAGGGAGATCTGTTGGATTCTGCTGATCTTACCTGTGCCCAATGATATATGCTTTTTCTAGAATCCAAATGTCCCTAAAAAACTCAATGTACTGATTTATGTTTAAAAGCAATAATTCTGCCATTCATGTGTTAAAATACAAAAAAGAAAAATAAACTTATCACCTTCAAACTGATGTTACTGATGTGTTACATTTACTCTTGTTCTGTGATAACTTTTCATTTGTTTGTTTTGGCTGATTTTTGCTTTTTATCTATTTAAGTTTATGCAGTGTGACGTCAGAAGCATGCCATATTTACACACTGAACTGAAGTTAGTTTATCTTTAGTGCAGTTTTTCAAAACATGTCCAATTAAAGGGAAATAAGGTAAAAAAAAAAAAAAGTCTTGAATAAAACCTAAAAGTTTGTGCGTAAGTACACTGAACCTTTTAGAGGTTCTGAAGATTGAATTATTTTTTGTACATTTAGTATGTGAAATTACTACTCAGTCTGAAGAAGTTAAATGGTTGCACAGGTGCAGATCTTTAACTAGATCAAATTCTCCTAATTCTGAGGACATTATGAACCAACAATGTTTTAGCTGCTGCTCTCTGTCTTTTCTTCCTCATTGATAAATTTGAAGCCTGACAGATACACCCTGCAATAACGATGGCAACGGGAAAAAAAAAAAACATACTTCTTAAATGTATTTTAGATTTTCCAGAAACTATTACCAGACTTGGGCCTGATTTTGTATTTATTTTTCATGTGCACCCCTCTCTTGTGTCTCTGTCGAGCCTTGTGCACGTATTTTCCTGTGTGGAAGTACTTTTACTTTTCAGAATGCTGGGGATATAATAGAACTGGACATCCTGTTTTTTAAGGAGACCGGGACTTAGAGCGTTAAGTCGTCAATAGAGATGCAATGTTCACAAACAATCCAAATCTTTTGAATGACTTTTTTATAATGAATGGGAATTGAGTCACAGACAATTGAGAGCTGTTACTCATTTTTATTATTTCCTCTTCATGATTTCTTTGTTGTCTTCCTCAAATGCTCCTCCTTCACTTTCTCACTAAGATGAAGCAAAACAGGCGAAGGAGAAGAGCGCAGGAGCGGCGTGCACAGATTGTTGTAGGGAAACGTGCGTTCAAGAGAGTGGGGTTACACGAGATATGGCTCCAATGTCGCTACATATAATTGTGACATCACTACTGTTCAGAATTGAATGGCTCATTCAAATGAATGGATCTTCAGTTTCCAGCTTGGTTCAAAAGGCCATGTATTCCATCTCTACTTAAATTCCTTGTGCAAAACCAGTTCCAAGTAGAATAGGAATTGAACACTTTCTCCATTTTCAGGAGTAAGACTATACACGCTCATTTTAAAACAGCAAAAATAAAGTTCAAACTCACCTAAAAAATCCTAAATTTCCTCCTCAGTTTTGAAGTTTTGGTTCAAATTCAGCGCCTCAGCTTCCCAGCCTACATGTGTGTGTTTTTTTTAGCTATTACTACTGAGATATATGTATATATTCAGACAGTCTTTCTAATGTTAAATGTACCTGCTTTTGTCTTTGTGTTTCCTTCCTTCTCTCTAATACTACATCACATTCAATCTCCGGTTTTACTGGATGTCTTAGTATTGTATACTTGCAGTCTTCATCTATGAACTTATGAAAATGTGTGCAAAAATGTATGTAACAATATTTAGATCTTTGGAAAAAAGCCCTGTGTTTTAGATCTGCATGCTGTATGTATATAAATACAGCATAT